CGAGATAAATTTTGTAAATGCGCTTCAAATCAGCAACAAAAAGTGTATAAGATTTTTTGAATTTCGACTGAGAACGTTCGGATTCTTGAAGACAAGATTCAGATGTCGCTCACTAATAAGGAATTTAAAAGTTGTAAACGTTACCGCAGAGCGTGGAGTGGCGCTCGCTCAAAGCTTCAGCAACATACATGCCAAAAGTGAGGAGCAAAAACAAGCATTGTTTTTGACAGTTCGGAAGCACCGAGAAACTAATCCAAGTGAAAAAAAAAACAGTTATTAAGGAGTTGAACAAAAAAAAAAAATGATTGCAAATATTAATTTTTTATAAGGCTAAACTTAGTTACTAACTAATTAATAAATGTATTTAAAACTAATTTATCGAACTTATATAAACTGCGTGTTCTAATGAACCGATAATTGGGAACCTACCTACGAAATCCGACAAGATTTGATGAAAATATGCCTATTTCTTTATAAAGTGGCATTTAAAATCTGCAGTTTCCGGAAAACAAATAACAGCGTTGAGCGACCTCTAAATCTTGTTCAAATAACTTGAAATTTTAGAATGAACTTGCCTTCGCTATTACCTTCAAGAATCCGAACGTTCTCAGTCGAAATTCAAAAAAATTCCAATTTTGAATCACCCTATTGCTCACTCGACAAATAAAGTACAAAAATTACTACGTAAACTACGTAAAATATGAATAGCACTGAAATATTTTACAGTTCATCAGAAGAACACATTTCAGCCCATTTCTATTTCCTACAAAATGCAGCAGCGTAAAAGGATTGTTTTGCCTGTTAAAAAGCTAAACATTAAATTGAACAACCTTTAACATATGTGTATCATTTGATGCGAATGCGAATGTCGACGCGAATATGTAAAATGATGCGAATGCGAATGTCGAAGCGAATGTCAATGCAAATATTCGCAACATCCCTGCTATGTACATACATACAGTAGGCAACAAATAGAAGTGTACACTTTGTACTAATATAATATTCAGAACTATTTTCATGAACATTTTTTTTTGCATTCATTATTTATGAAAATATACATATGTAGTTCATTCTATAATACAAATAAACCACATACATAAATCAAAGTTTCACACTTAATATAAAGTTCAAAAAAATTCAAAAAATGTTCATCAAAATTTTCAACCTTTGATTCAGAGTTTCTGGAAAATTTTCGAGTAAATATGCAGTTTCATAGCCCATTCAATTTTAGTATAATAAATAAGGTGCAAGGCGAGTCTATTATTTCTGCCGCCAGTGTAATAGCACTGCCCTTACTTGTTTATTAACTTTTTCGTTTCTCTTTCTCCAGTTTAAAAAGACATCTTGGATCAAAAGGATGACCAACACATCAGAGCAAAGATAAAGATTTAATAAAAGAAAAATAATCAAAATCATAGCAACTTTAAAAAGTACATACGGACAAATATTCACACACAAACAAGAAAATGTTATCCACCAACTCAAACAAACCTTCCCCTTGCAGCAGCTTGCGAACACAGTTGACGTCCATCTTCTTGATATTTGTTATCTTTGCACTATTAACCGCTTCTAGCCACCAATCCAATGTGCCCGATTATGATGTCGACGGCGGTGGTGGCGAATTGGGGACAAGTGGTGGAAGTACTGGTAGCAGTGGAGCTAATAGCGAAATAATGGACAGTAATGATGAGATTTATGAAACAGCTGTTCTACAACAGGACATGGATGAGCATGACAGGCACAAGAAGCTGTTAGATGCAATGGAGGACGAGGAGGATAATGCGTCAACGACATCGCCAAAGCGAAAAGAAATGAGCAATGAATCGTTGAATGCAGTAAGGACACAAGTTCACAGTAATGACATGTTGGCCGGCTCAGCGGACGACGAAATGTTGGATAGCAGTACTTTAATTAATTTCGCAGCAGCCAAGTTGCCCATAGCCTCGCCGCCTACAGCGCTGCCCGTATCCATGAGTACAATGATACCAGCCTATGTGCGAAAGGGAAAAGCTGAGCAATTTCCGCGCACCATAACTAGCGACACTGTGTCAGTAGAGGAAGCTGACGCGAACGTCTCAACCTCCGACTATGTGGATGACGAAGAGCATTTGAATGAAAAAGCCACCAAGACAAATAAAATCAATCCAATCGCAATGAAATTGTATAATCACGCAGAAACGGATGACAACACGCTGAAGGATCAGCAGCCAGCGCCACCATCGCAGAAGGAGCAACATCGATCACCTGCATTACAGTCAAGGAAACAGCATTTACAACCGAATAGCTCAGATGATGAGGACTACTACGAGGACTCTCAGGACAGCTCTTCTGAGAAACAGCAAATGCACCAACGCGTGGAAGGTGCGATGCGACCACTGATGGCACCTGCGCTGCCACTAACGCCTTCGCCGACCGCTTCACAGCCAACATCAGCGCGTTCCGCTGTCGATTTATATCAATTTCCAAACGTAGATATGGCGCGTGCACATCCACCTGTTCTGCAAGTACGTGGCGCCGCTCGGACTACAAATGGTCCAACAGTAATGGCCGCCACAGCTGCGCCAACAACTGTGGCAATACCAGTATTCGACGAGAACTCTATCGACATTAATGCGCCAAGCATTGCGGTAACCACAAACTCGGCAACAGGCTTGGAAGCGGAATCAGCTGCCGTTGCCACTCCAACTACAACAATACCACTGACGACGCCAACAACAACAACAACAACGATGACAATAACAAGCATACGCCCTCTGGGTAAGCAGGGTAAACAAATAAATATACCACGCGGCCGCAAGCTGCTGCCGCACGAACAATTACGCAACTACATTGAAGATGCCTACATACGAATGCCATTAGCTGTTATTGTCGATCCATCGGCAGATGCGCTGGACAAGACGAAGGCGCTGTGGCGTGACGCGCTACGCACCAATCTGAATATAAAAATTGTGTTGGTCTCGCTGAATGCTTCAGGTGAGTAAACAAAATAGTAATAGTAAACATATCAAGCATACATACATATGTGCATATATGTATGTATGTATATGTATATATACATGTTTTTTATGTATGTATAGTTCATGACTTACCTGTTGCAAAAATAAGTTGAGGTTGAGTGATTGAATGAATGATGATTGTATGAATGGGCAATACCCCGATGGGCTACGTTGTAGCAACAAGGAGAGCGACATTGCTGGTGTTATGTCTTTTAATGGAAAGCTGAACGTGTATCAGGTACAACCAAGCGACTCGACTGCCTACAATTTAGAAGATATGCATTTAAAATTTTTGAAGTTTACATTCAAGTATACTGACCGAGAGGACATTAGGCGCGTTGGGTACTCAATGTGCCTATAGTAAGTAAGATAGTAACTGTTATGCTTACCGACTTCTTGATAACTTGTTTTTGGTCGTTGGACGATAATTTTTTTGAGCTGGTTGACAAGACACGCCTATGTACAAAGCTTCAGCAATTTTCGGACACCATTTTTTTGTGTAAAAAAACTACAGTGTTGGTCAAAACATGTGCCTTAGCCAACCAACTATCTATCTCTATCGTCACCTTAATATAGAAAGGCCCTAACTCAATGCAAATGCAAAAAAGCCGCAACCAACTAAATTTTTTGATTGCTTAAAATGATGATGAAATGTATCATAATAAACCAAAAAGGGAATTTTTGATTTTTACTTATTTACGGCTTTTTGCATTTCAGCAACTATGTGAGAGAAGGCCTTTCAATATTAAGGTAACGATATAAATCTACTAAATAACAAGCTACTTATGCGGCTAGCAATAACATCATTGATGACAGCTAAGTCTTAGGTGGATTTTTATTTGTTTTTATTTTTATTTTATTTTTTTTTATCAGTTACTAATTGTTGTGAAATTGCGTGCATGATTTGCTCCATATAAATTGATAAATTTGATTTTCACCTTTATATCTTTTTTTCTTTTTTTTTTTTAATTTCTTTTTAGGAATTCCAGCAGCTTATAGCTTTAATAACCCCCGCCAATTCCTCGCCGGTTTGAATGGCATCAAAGTACACGACGGTGGTAATTCTTTTATAGGCATTGTACACGCTTCAGAACTGGTGCCATATGATAGCGCCGTGTTTATATCTACCGCAGTGATACCACCGCACACGGAGCTGGTGCAGGATGCAGCTATAACGCTGCTGAAAAAGCGCATAAGGGTTAGTAAAAGAGAGTATAAAAAAAGAGAGAGTAGTATTTTATTTTCCAAATTATTTGCTATTTTTAAGTAAATTTTAATAACATACATATACGTATGTATATCTTACAAAAAACAACAGCTCTACCTCATCTGGTATGGTGAACGCTCGGCAAGCGAAAATGAAACGCAGGAAGCTGTAGGAGGCATACTTGGCGAGGTGGCCATACGTTCGGGCGGTGAAGTACTTCATCTTGTGGGAAGTGAAAACTCACAGGAACTGGAGGGCAGCACGGTAAGTGTCGCAAATGTATTTGTTTTTACATGCATACATAAATGTATACCCCCCCGTGTCATAATTATAAATAAGCGCACCACATATTGACAAGTTTTAACAATTTATCTTTTTGTTATTCAATTTTAGTTTTTTTTATAAAAAAATATATAATTTATTCTTTAACAAAGACCGAATAAATCCAAGTCTGAGACGATGTGCAATAATAAAAAACAAAAAATTAACAAACCTTCGCAAAAATTTCGAACTTTTTAATTAAAGTACTTTAAAAGATTTTGAATATGCACACTTCTTATGGAAGAAAATTACTGACACTGTCAAAAAAAAACCTTTTAAAAATTAACGGTAAATCCCAGCTACTTCAAACTTGCACTTTATTATAATAAAATTTAATGGGCTACAAAACCTAATTAAAAAGCTCCACATTTTTACGAAAGTTTGTTGAATTTTATTTTTAATATTGCACAAAGTTTGAAACTTGGATTTATTCGGTTTTTGTTAAAGAATAAACAATGTTTGTATAAAAAAATAACTAAAATTAAGTAGCAAAAAGCTAAATTATTAAAACCTCATATATGTACATGTGCATATGTATGTATGTACATTAGACAGCATCACCAAAAAAAGTTTCGGTTTTTCCGTTTTGTCACATGAGAGGGTTTTTTTTTCAAAAAATCTTTAAGAAACTATTTATATTCTTTAAAAACTCCATTTTCGAGGCATTTTCAACTCGGTCCAGCTCACGTAAATCTTAGTATTTTTTCGAAATATTTTGGTGAACGTCTTCAAATATAATAGATTTTATAATTCGAATGGAAACACAGTACCTTTTTTTGACGGGGAGTGATGCAGTCTAATGTATGTACATATCTATGCAGATATGTATGTATGCTCTGACTAGCCTCAGCCTGAGAAAACCTTTCTCTACGTCTTGTAGTGATTATAGTTAATCGCATCCAGTGCAGCAAGTCAATGTTTGCTATGTAAATCAAGTAAATACAAGTTTTTAAAATAAATAGGCTTATTAAAAGTGGTTGTCGCCATCCACTGTCGCATAGTGAAAATGGCAGAAAATCGCAGCGAAAAGCGTCAACTTGTTTAAATGCTAATAAGTGCTGCCGCTGTTGCTTACAACTGGTGATTGCGAGTTCGGAAACTCAAGTAGCTTCCACGACAAGCACAAGATATGTACATATACATACGTATATCGGTGGTCCGTTGCAATAACGACACAATTTAAAAGCCTTACTAATGTTAAGGGCCTCATATATCTAATCCTTGTGTAATCTACGTCTAATCCTTACTGCTCTCTTTAGTAATCCGTTCTGCTTAGGGTTAGAGACATGAGGTCCTTAACACCAGTAACGGTTATTTACCATCCGCTCCGTTAACTATATATTTTATAGGGCTCATCCAGCGTCAGCTCGCGCAGCCAAAAGTTTTAGCGCATCATTAAGGCTGGTTTGCACTAAGTCAAATTATGAGTATTATTATGAGCCAAAAATGGAATGTTTAACAGGACTTTGTTGGTGTGATCTGAAGCTAACTGTGTAGTATAAAGGCATATTCAACTAGGTAGAAGCGATTTCGACAGTTCTATATTTTGAACTGCGACAGAAGTCTCAAACATAGATCAAAATATTTAAAATCGTATGTAAACAGACACTATAGCCATATATATAAAGATAGCTAAATTCTGTTGTCACTTCTATCTTGTTGGTGTTGTATTGTATTGTATTAGGTCAAACAATTCAAAATCAAGTAATTAAACACCTGTCATTTTGAAAAAAAAAACCAACGCACCATGAAGTTGATGGTATATATCAAATTGAAAGTTAGTCACTGGCTATACATACTACATACACATTTACATATGTTAATATGTGTGTGGGACATATGTATGTACATTCATGCCACAATTAAAACGAATGTATGTATGTATATATGAACACAGATATGCATACGGATTGGTTAATGCATTCATATGCGTTTGTTAAAGCAGCAAAGAATATGAAATATGAACTCAAAATGCGTTAAAAATACACATCCGTGCATGCATACATATATACACTTGGGCATTTCCTGAAAAGAGTCAACCAAGAGCAAAAATAAATAAAACAAGTAATTTTTGGCAAAAAAAAAACCGACTTCAACTCTCATATAAAAAAAAAATATATATATATATCTCATGATCCACTGATCGGATCTTAACTAGATTAGTATGGGACCACCTCTGACGTGGTCCAAAGTTATGCGGTAACATATATAAAAAAAAAAAACAAAAAAAATATTCCGACGAACGTCATATCTATAGCACGTAATTTCAAAGTGATATTGTTTGCCACTTATTTATTTTTTATGAATAAGGCCACAAGCTTAAAGCTTTGTAGAAACTAAAAAAAAAATTCAACAAATTTTTACCCAAATGTCAAACTTTTTTCTCAAAAGTGCTCGATTCTTTTGAGTATACAATTTTAGTATGACAATGTACAAGTTTCAAGTTGCTAAAAATTACCGTTGATTTTTTGGAACTAAGTAAAAACACCTTCAGGTGGTTGTTTCGAAATTCCTACAGCTGAGCTTACCCTTTTTGGCGCATTTTCTTTTATCTATTACAATTTCTTTACTTTCTATCAAAACTTCTTCCGAATACAACAATACACCGAACCAAAAATAGGCCCTCAATCTGTCTGATAAAACGGTAGCAGGCAATAATTTTAGAGTTAACAGTTAAGTCGGAGATGGTTTCAAATATCAGAAATTAAATATCAGGTATTAAATATAAGCCCTCGATGTGTACACAGGAAATTCTTATAGATTTGTTCTAAAGAAGGTAATACATATTTTCTATAATATGACTTCGAATTATAAACGCGTATCTGCGAACCACAAACGAACAATATTCAAAAACGTGAATTTTTGAAAAGTTCTCAAATAGGGCCTTTTGCATAGCAAATATGGGGGAAAGTATAGAAACATACGAATGAAAAAGTTTAGCCGCTCTAAACTTGCTACATTTTAGTTACGGTAAATATTTTTATTTGTGTTGGATGAATGTTAGTTACGTTTATTTTTGGGGAAAAAATTCTGATCTAAAGCCTACTATGATGAAAAAAATTTCTCCGCACGGAACGTCCGTTAAGGCGTTGGGTAATGGCTTACACTAATTCTTATTTGGCTCTACAAAATTTGGATTGCACGCAGAGCTCATTTAGCACATTCCTTAAGTGGCCATGCAATGCTAAGTACTATATACGTAACTGAGCCTCAACGCAGGAAATGCCCATATGTAGGCAGGTATATGCATGCATGTAAAACCGAAATGAATGCCATGGAAAATATTTTTTTTATTTTTTGGTTTGGCATTCATTTGAAACCAGGTTATGGAACGAACGTCAACAAAGTGAAGGGTGACATCCAGTAACTTTGAAAATAATGTGGTTGTTCCAATAGTCGATTTTGACGACATTACAAGTGTAATCTTCCGAATGCGAAGATACAGTATGTTTCCGCAGACGTACATACATATGTACACATCGACGATACTTTGGCAAAATCTCAAAAATCACTACTACATCGTATCTCGAAAAATTAATTCAAACTAGGCCCTAAAATACTTTGATTCGTTATATTTTATTCTTAATTAACTAAACAGTAGGGGAAGTCTCGGGGTATTCTTGGACACACTTTTTTATTTGGTCGAAAACTCGCAAACTAAACATTTTTTAAGTTGGTTTTGTAGTACGGGAAATAACCCACCTTTCGCCACCAGCAGTTTGATCAAATTGTAAATATTCAATTATGCATGTTATTTCAGTTGGCCCAAAAATTGTGTTATG